GAAAACTAAATATTTTACGAGATATTTTATTTTTTATATTAAAATATGTCATATTAAAATATAAAATAACTCAAAAAATATTTTATTATAGTGTTTTGAAAAGCTCTCCAGATAAGCTACAAAAATATGTATATAATAAATGTATATGTAATAAAAAATGAGGGGTTCCATTTAAGAAAACATCGATCACATTGAGCTCACCTTGAAAAGATCACTCAAGGTCAAGTCCATATTTTTATCATGTGGCTCCCTCGAAACCATGCAACTTTTGTCTGAAACATTTTTGTCTATCTGGCTCAGTTCTCGAGATATTCGCGTGGATTTATGAAAATGGTCCACCCTAATAATATTCCTTTATTATAAAATTTCCTTTATTATGTAAGAACATTTCATATACATACAGATATTGCAGTGAGTTATTTACAGTATAAATCAAATTTGTCCAAGTTTCTATTTGCGAGTAAAACACTTCTCTCTTTCCATCGCTTTACTAAGCAATATAAAGAAAAAATAAAATGCGAGAAACTCCATCTACAAATTATATTAGTTATTAAAAAAAATAAAAAATAAACTTGGACAAAACTGATCCAATTATTATGAAAACTTAAGAGTGTATTGGAGATACAATCGTAGACAAAAGTACCCGAAATTCTAAATTCTTAAATATTTACGCCCTACATATAGTAAAGATGGATACGAATGATACAAATGATAGTATAATTACATATTTACCTGTAGAAAGATATTTTTTTACTTTCCCAATATAATTATAGCTCTATTTGCGAATTTTCTTATTTATATGACAAAACTTTTGAAAGTAAAAATGCCCTAAATCCTGGATCTAACTTTATAAAATAAAAGAGTTGCGCAAAATGAGGTTACTGTCTACGTTGTGTTGTTGACATATCGCGATGGAAATATTACAACTTATCGTTAGAAAGGCAAAATTGTTACTAATACGTATGTATGAAAAAAGACTTGCATGACAAAAATGTGGAAAATTAAAAAAAAAGTTGTGGCTATAACAGAAGGACAAAAAATTGAGCATATTATAAAAAATGAAAAAAAAAGTAAAAATTAAGATCGTAATAACTCATTAACGGTTTAGTGAATTAATGTGAACTTTTTTTTAGCACATTAGAAAGACGTAAAGAACAACCTCACCAATTTTCATCAAAATTGTACTATTTTACGATAGCTCCAATACATCCTTCAAAAAAATAAAATTTTTTCTTCATTTTTTTATTTTATCAAGCGACGCGGTAGCGTCGCGACGCCAAGTATATAAAAAAAACGTTTCAGCTTGTCAACGGTTTGTCTATGTTGTTGCCTATGTACAGGGGCCGCGACGCTAAGTAGCTTATCCGGAGTTTATATTCTTTGTCAATGTTTTTTGACGCATTCAGCATCAAATCATTTCAGTGCATCGCTTTTACCTCTCGCCATAACCTAACTAATCAAATGAAATCATGCCGCCTCCGCGGGATAGAAGCCGGTCACCCGTAAAAAAAAGGCTTTACCGCCAAGGACGATAGTGATTCTGAAACGCAGGAAGCAATCCTAAATATGATTGCCAGCTCTGTTCCTCCACTGCCATGCGAGTCTCCGGACAGCGACATGGAGGCCGAGCCAACTCAAGAAAAATCTCTCACTTCACAGTCCAATCAGGAAAATAGTGTCGATAATGAACCCTCCTCGTCCGCCTCTAAAATCTCAAGAGATGCAAGTGACCAAAGCTACACTAGTTTCTCTACCCTCAAGAGACAATCTCGAAACACCCAAGACGAGGAAAATTCAGTTCCAAAAAAGCTCAATGCTTCGAAGCAGATCCCAGACGCTGTCTTAGCAAACAGATATCCCAAGTTTTCACAAGGACCTTATGAAATTGTTGTTACGTCCATAGGATCAGTCAACTCTTCCATCCACCCTCTCATAGTGGGCCGTCTTCTCAGTTCCACTCTTAAAAAGGATATAACAGAAATCAAGAAACTTGGCTTCTCTAAAGTATCAGTACAATTTAAATTGCGGGAGGCGGCAAACAATATAATCAATAATCCAATTCTCAATTCAAATAACCTAATCGCCTATATTCCTTCTTACAGAGTATCGAGACAAGGAGTAATAAGAAATATACCACTAGACCTCGCTGAAAATACTATTAAGGAAGAAATTGACAGCTCGGTTGGGATCATCTTCGTGCGGAGGCTCAGCAGAAAGATTATTGATCCATCCACAAGATCGGTGAGCTACTCACCCTCCAAATTTATCGCAATTACTTTTGAAGGGCAGACGGTCCCACAGTTTCTCTACTTGTATATGGTCAGGTATGAAGTTTCTCTTTTGATCTCCAAACCTTCTCTTTGCTACTCCTGTTATCGATATGGACACATAAAGTCCCAGTGCAGAGGACAGCCTCGTTGTATCGACTGTGGGGATAAATCCCACGACAATATCTCTCCTTGCCAAAACATAAACCAACCCCCATCTTGCATCAACTGCAAAGGCCCTCACAAGACAAACGATCCTTCCTGTCCTGAATGGCTCTTACAAAAACAAATTCTTGAACTTGCCGCATACAAAAACATTCCTATCCTAGAAGCAAAAAAAAACCATCCGCGGAAACAACACCAGAAGACCTAACCATATCGACTTCTCAAATTTCCCTGAGCTTAGTAACTCTCCTACCCCAGACATCCTGTACACCAATTCCTCATATCACTTATCCCCTTCCCCTCTTTCCCCGCAATCATATGCAAACGTTGTAAGAAACTTGCAAACGATACCCCACAACCCATACCACTCTTCCTCTTCTAACAACGGTTCCCCCTCTTCGCCCTCCTTCTCGCCTTCGCATCCTCACCCTGCTACCAACAAAACTTCTCCCTCTCTTCTTCTTTCTCCCTCCCCTCTATATTCAAAACAATTTAACCGTAACCAGAACCGTAACCCCTCCCCCTCCAGCACCAATCAACCCTTCCCTCCAAACTCCCTCTTGATCTCCCCGGATGGCCGTCTCCCATCATATCCTAACGGCATTGCCTTCCACTCCTCTCCTCCCCCTCCCTATCCCCCTTCAACGACCTCTCCTCCACTAATCACTCTCCTTCTCCCTTCAACGCCCGCTCTCCCCATTTCTTTCCCCCCTCACCTGAACTCCAGCCATCCTTCTCCCCCTGGATACCATTCATAAAGACCATCTTAGAAAAGATTTCTCCACTCCTAAAAACTTTTGGGATTCAAGATGACCTATTTAAAATCCTCCAAGATCTTGAAAATTCTTGTCCTTCCACGCCCACACTTCCTTCTTCCCATGACTCAATCTAATACAAACGCAGCATTAGATTCCTCCTCTCCCATCAAAATCTTACAGTGGAACTGCCACTCTATTTCAAATAAAATTGATTCGCTCAGATCAATTGCAAACGAATTCGATATCATCGCGTTATCTGAAACCTGGCTCAACCCAGATTCAGTACTCTCTCTTCAAAATTTTTATATCATTAGAAAAGACAGTCTTTCACGCAACTCAGGTGGGCTCGCCCTAGCCATCAAACAAAATATTCCCTTCAAAACTTTAGACGACTGCCTCCAAATCCCTAACAAACTCGAATGTCAATCTATAATCATTCCGATTGGAAACCAATTCCTTCAAATCACCTCAATCTATAGATTTCCTCAATCCCCACTTTGCGCTACGGAGTGGAACGATCTGTTTATCTTCTGCAATTCCTATCCTTCCTCTCTTTTAATTGGAGACTTTAATAGTCACCACACGGAATGGGGCTCTAGCCGCATTGACAGCTCAGGCGCAGCCTTGCTGTCCTCTGCACTGGACCATTCCTTCATCTGCCTCAACGACGGCTCCCCCACCTACCTCTGCCGACCTAACCAGTCCAAGTCAGTCATAGACTTATCTTTCGCTTCACTCGCAATATTCAGTTTGTGCGAATCAGTTGTTCTCTCCGACCTCCTTTTCAGCGACCACTTCCCCATCTCCATTGCAGTAAATTGTGCAGTCAAAAGGCGCACTTTCTTTTCCCACAAAATAAAAATGAAAAAAACAGATCAAGCTCAATTCGTTTCGAACCTTATTCAAAACTATCCCTCTCTTCTGGACTCTATCTCCAACGCTCCATCCGCTTTAGAATCATATGAAAACTTTGTTTCCCATCTTAAGAAGCAAGTTCCTCTCCATCCCCGACTACATCAATCCAATCACCAAAAACCGACTTCTAAGCGCTCCACTCTCCCTGCCCCATGGTGGGACGACGAATGTGAAACGGCGGTTTCTAATCGCAAAATGGCTACAAGCTCATACAGAAAAAACCCTTCTTTCTCCAACTACCTAAACTTAAAGAAATTAGAAGCAATAGCCAAACGCACTCTAAGATCAGCAAAGAGAAGGGGATGGAGAAGTTTCTGCAGCACCATTAACGAACATACTCCTCTCCAACAATTATGGAAAATGATTAAAAGGTTCAAGTCCAGACATTTGGGCCTGTCTACCTTTCAAATCTCTTCTAACTTCGAGACCCCCGAAGGAATTAAAAACCTAATTTCATCTCTCTGCCCCCCCTCCGCTCTTTGCAAACAATATTTTTCTGCCGCAGACTTCTCTAATTCAGCATCTTGTAATATGTTCGATAATCCTTTTACCTTACCTGAGCTCATCGGTCACATAAAAAACCTCAAAACTAAATCCTCACCAGGAATGGGCCAAATCGACTACAAAATGATTTCCATTTTGCCGGAACAATACTTACCCGTCTTGTTAAACATTCTCAACAATCTATTTACAGAAGGAGCATTTCCTGAGTCTTGGCAACACTCTATTGTCTTCTTAATCCCAAAAAACTCCCCGGGTAAATACAAACCAATTTCTCTCACTTCTTGTCTTCTAAAACTCATGGAGAAACTCATCCACTCCCGCCTAGAATGGTGGATTGAAAAAAAGAAATTGCTTCCGTCAAGGCAATTCGGATTCAGAAAAAGAAAATCCTGCCATGATAACTTCGGCATTATATATAGTTTGTGTGAAACAGTAGTTCTCTCCGACCTCCTTTTCAGCGACCACTTCCCCATTTCTATTGCAGTAAATTGCTCAGTCAAAAGACGCACCTTCTTTTCCCATAAAATCAAGATGAAAAAAACAGATTAAGCTCAATTCGTTTTGAATCTCACTCAAAACTACCCCTCTCTTCTGGACTCTATCTCCATCGCTCCATCCGCTTTAGAATCATACGAAAACTTCATTTCCCATATTAAAAAGCAAGTTCCTCTCCATCCCCACCTACATCAATCCAACCACCAAAAATTGACTGCTAAGCGCTCCACTCTCCCTGCCCCATGGTGGGACGACGAATGCGAAACGGCGGTTTCCAACCGTAAAAAGGCTACAAGCTCTTACAGAAAAAAACCCTTCCTTTTCCAACTACCTAAGCCTAAAAAAATTTGAAGCAATAGCCAAACGCACTCTACGATCAGCAAAGAGAAGGGGATGGAGAAGTTTCTGCAGCACCATTAACGAACATACTCCTCTCCAACAATTATGGAAAATGATTAAAAGGTTCAAGTCCAGACATTTGGGCCTGTCTACCTTTCAAATCTCTTCTAACTTCGAGACCTCCGAAGGAATTAAAAACCTAATTTCATCTCTCTGCCCCCCCCCCTCCGCTCTTTGCAAACAATATTTTTCTGCCGCCGACTTCTCTAACTCTGCATCTTGCAATATGTTCGACAATCCTTTTACCTTACCTGAATTCATCGGGCACATAAAAAACCTCAAAACAAAATCTTCACCAGGAATGGACCAAATCGACTATAAAATGATCTCCATTTTGCCAGAACAATACTTACCTGTCTTGCTAAACATTCTCAACAATCTATTTACCAAAGGAACATTTTCTGAGTCTTGGCAACACTCTATTGTCTTCTTAATCCCAAAAAACTCCCCGGGAAGATACAGACCAATTTCTCTCACTTCTTGCCTTCTAAAACTCATGGAGAAACTCATCCACTCCCGCCTAGAATGGTGGATTGAAAAAAAGAAATTGCTTCCGTCAAGGCAATTCGGATTCAGAAAAAGAAAATCCTGCCATGATAACCTTGGCATTTTCGTCTCCGATATTTACACAGGTTTCGCCCTCAACCAACCCACAGCCTGCTTGTTTTTAGACATCGTCGGAGCCTTCGATAACGTCATTCCAAACATCCTGACGGACGACTTAATTGAACTTGGCCTCCCTCCGAAACTGTGCCAATTTATATACAATCTCATACACCGAAGGAAACTACAATTTGTTATAAATGGTGAAATTTCTAACTCTTTCTACTCCTACAAGGGCGTCCCCCAGGGCTCAATCCTAAGCCCCCTTCTCTTTAACATCTACATTTCAAAATGCCAAAAAATTATCGGCAAAAAATGTGAAATTGTCCAATTCGCCGATGACATAGCTATCTTTTCTAGATCCCAAATCATTGACCAGTCTCTTAGGACTCTCGAAATAGCTGCAAACAAGCTCGCTGCCCACCTGGACTCTAAAGGCCTAGCGATATCTCCTTCTAAGTCAGCCCTAATCGTCTTTTCCAGACGTAGAAAAAGTTCACATCCCCATTCAATCAACCTTTTAGACTCGGTGGTCACATCTTCCACGTCTCACAGATTTCTCGGTATTATCATGGATTCAAAGCTCCAAGGCAACCTGCATATAGAATACTTGTCAAAAAAATGTACCAAACTCTTAAACATACTCAAATCACTGCGAGGTGTCTGGTGGGATGCCAACCCCAGCTCGCTCCTCAACATTTACAAATCTTTGATCAAAGGCTCGATAGAGTATAGCTTTCCATTCATTCGTATTAATAATTTCACCCAATTGGAAAAACTTGAAAAAATCCAAAGACAGGCTATCCGGATAAGCCTTGGCCTAAGACAATCGACCCCTTCAAACGTTCTACTCTCGGAATCTGGCATCGGTCCACTCAGATTCAGACTAGTCTTCTTAGCTGCGAAATTCATACTAAAAAGCTTTGCCTCCAACGACAACCTGGTTATCGACAAGCTTTTTGACCTCCAAATCAGATTAATAAATAACCACAAGTTCGACATATCGACTAATTTCATCCCGTACCCAACTTTCCTCAAATTCAAATCCTACAAATCTAAAATCGCCTCTTTTGACCTACTGCCTATGTATAATCACGAACACGAATCCAACTTCGCCATAGCAGACATCCACATTACTTCCCCGGCTACCGTCGATGAAATCAAGCAGGCTCCCATTCTGCAACTAATATTTATGACTACCTATAATCATCTCATTTGCGGCAGGAAATGCTTCTTCACGGATGCTTCCAAAACAGACTCCCAGGACTATGTCGGTTTTGCATTCTACACCTACTCCCCCCACATTAGCCGACAATTTAGAATCGACGGCCAAGCCTCTATTTTCACTGGAGAGACTTTAGCTATGCTTAAATGTCTCGACTATATACTCGATAACAAAATAGCAAACTCTTCTATTTTCACGGACTCTCGAAGTTTAGTCGAAATTTTATCTTCTGTAAAACCCCTGAGAGACCTAAACTACCTAATTTACGAAATCAAGGAAAGACTCAGAACAGCCAAATTTTCGAACTGCAATATTTCTATAATTTGGATCCCTAGTCATTCAGGAATACTAGGGAATGAAACTGCCAACTTTCTCGCCAAAAGAGCCATCCGCACGGGGGAACCAGTCTCGGAACTCATTCCACACAGCGATTTTTACTCCTTGGCTCGCACCCACTACATCTCTTCATCTAACCGCACTCTAACCGCTCAATCCAATCTCAAAGACAAACTATACTTCAACCAGCATCCTTCCTTCTCTCCCAGGCCTTGGTTCCTAAAGCTCGGCCTTGACCGCGAGGAAATAGTCACGGCATGCCGAATCAGAAGCAACCACTACAACTTACACGCCAGTCTATATCGCTGTAACATCATATCCTCGCCTGCATGCGAATGCGGTCACCCATCACAGGACATAAACCACACTCTATGGATCTGCCCCAGACACCAAGACCATAGACCTTACCTGCTCAAGAAATTGGAGGAAAAATCTAAGAAACCTCCCCCCTTTGACGCATTTGAACTCCTCTCAATACCCTCTGCTGGAATCATCTCATGCTTGGCCTCTTTCTTTAAAAAATGCAACCTGAATATCTGAGGATATAACTTGACACAATCTCTGCAGAAACACTGTCTTCATTATACATTGACTTGGCCGAGTGGGCCAGTACAATCGGGCCCGGAGCCATTCAACTGAAGAAGAAGAAGAAGAAAGATTGAGATTGAAGTTGAGATTACACTAAAGTTTATTTATATATTATAGAATGTAGTATATATTAGCTGGAATAGTATTTTACGATAAAATTATAGTCTAGAAAAAAAATAAAGAAATAAAACGTACTGATTTAAGGTTTTGAACTCATCGAATCTTTGCATATTCACGACACAATCATGACAACGAAGAGCATTGTGATAATGATTGTCATGTTGCTGCAATCCTTTTTATATTCATATGCGGGCGATAATTTGAGAGATCAAAGCGAGGCCCTGTCTTTCGCGGATTACGACAGCAATTGGTGTGATTTTTCCACCAACGACATAAGAGATCTAACGTTTATTATGATAAAAACAAATATACCTATACGTTTAACCGCCGGGAAGTTTTTCTACGTCACACAAGTGCCACATTTGCAGATATCCTAAAGACCGCAGTATCTTACTTATCCGCTTTACGTGTTATGATTGAAAAACAAGCAGAAAACAAGTAAACTATTATATATATAATTCAAACTTCGCAAAAAAATTTATTATTGTTAAAAAAATATTGTAAATAAATATCTAAAGAATATCTTAAATTTCTTTTTATATGTAAGATAATATTCTACAATAAAATTCTCTGTAAGCGAAAAAAAAAATAGTTATGAAAAATCATCAAATATAAATTTATTCACAAAATAAATTTTATATTAAAATCGAGAGAGAGAAAAAAAATATTGACAGAATTACATTTACGTTTGATACAAATAATTCTGCACTAATCATCCAATTTGCATGATACAAAAAAAATTTATTTACGATGTATACATATGTTTACATTTTTTAATAGATTAAATTTATACCATTTAATTAAGAGTTATATAAAAATGAAATAAAATGCAATGTAGTCTGCGCGTACATAACCGAAATAAGCACGACTCTCTCTCTAATTGTTACTACAATAAAAAGATATTGTGGCGGAAATAAAATAAACCTGGAAATTGCAACCGCGTAAATTCCTATTCAGCAAAAATTTTGCGTAAGAATATAAGGTAAATATAGCGAATAGAAGACCCAGCCCCAATGACCTTGACCTTGATATATGTTATCAAGGACATAATTCTGAGTAACTTTTTCTTCTAATATAATCGTCGCTCGTTGCTTATTAAAAAGTTATTAACAAACAAAAATTTGTAAAAATCAAGATTTATACATAGTCTGACAATGAAAAACTGGATATTTAAGTTAGTTTACAGAAATAGTCCTACGTATACTACACATATAAACTGAAATAAACACAAGTTTTTACATATATAGGGTGTTCAAAAATAAAATATAAGGGTAAATATAGCCAATAGGGGACCCAGCCCTAATGACCTTGACCTTGACATATGTTGTCAAGGACATAATTCTGAGTAACTTTTTCTTCTAATATAATCGTCGCTCGTTGCTTATTAAAAATTATTAACAAAAAAAGTTTGAAATATACCAAAGTACATGCACGGACAGGAAGCACGCGCGCGCGCGCGCCACCTTTCGGGTTTTCTCATTCAACTCTCCTCGTTCCTTTGTGCCCTATCTTATCCAACTCTTCTCTTTCTTATCGACCTCTCGTCCTTCCTCTTCCTCTCAGCCTTTTTCCTTCTATCCATCTTCTCTCTCTCTTTTTCTTCCTTCTAACCTTCAAACTGCCAAACGCCTTTATATCCTTCTTTCTTCTATAATCATTCTTCCACTTTGTTCCCTTCACTCACATCTGCTCCTCCCTTTTTGCTCTTCCTACTCCTTTCCTCCGCTCCGATTCCTTCCTCTTTACACCAACTACCCGCGCCTTTCCCTTCGAGCACATGCCACAACTATCTCTTCCCCAACCGCCATTTTTTCCACTCCCGAGTACCGCTAAAAGGTAATATCTGCTATTTATTCAAGTTGAGAATGTGGCAATTTAATATCACTATATAATCAATTTGTAACATATATAAAATTATAAACATGATATTATAAAAACATAATATATTAAAATTATAAAAGTATGTAAAATTATAAAATATTATAGCATATATGACAGAACAATATGTATCAAAGCGTTTCCTTTCTATCAAGGAAACGATTGTTTGTTTTTCAACATTACGTTGTATGTTTGTGGTCAAGTCGAAATTTTGAAGACTAGATTTGTCAACTTTGATAATACAGAATCGGAAATCTACGAACGCTGCAACGCGTTAATACAGAGACACACATATTTGACAAGAATGGCGAGGGAACTCGCTGATACGATTAGCTTTGTCTTACTAATACAATTATTCATTATCACCATACAATTATGTATAACAGGTAACTGTTTATATATATATATAGTGAAAGGAAAACGACAGAAATTTAAATTTTTGAGAGCCTGTCTAAAATTGTTAAATATGCCTCTGGGAGACATTCGGTGTCTGTTTGCAGATTTAAACTATCCTTTTGTCGCTTAATGTGTAATACTTCGGAAATCAATCGCTTATGTAAATGTGGTTCATTATCAAGTATTTCTATTTTGTCCCACTTAAAGTCATGATTAAGAGCAATTCTGTGATCGGTTATAACAGAGTGATTTGTCGTATTTCTACGAATATGATTTCTGTGTTCCGCTATCCTCGTGTGTAATTGTCTCTTAGTCTATCCCACATATGACGCATCGCAATTATCACAATTAATTTCTGCTCGCGCGTACCCCGACTCTCGTCGCAGGGCCACCAAACTTTTCGTTGCCGTGCGACACTTCGAAGCTCGCCGCTGGCACGCCTAGAGCGTACGTCCCACGGTTTAGCCGCGCGAAACGCGCGCTTATTCGCCAATCTTTTTCAATTAATATTTCAATAATTATTGCAAAAATTGCAAAATGGTACAGGACTTTTCTGTTCAGTTTACTGTGCTCTACCTGCTCACGAGCGTTGTAAAGGGTGCTTTGGGACACCCTGTATATAATAGAATAAATAAAATTTATCTTCCATTCTTTTATGTAAGAGAAATAACTTGATAATAAAATAATAAATATAAAAACTCAACAATAATTATATTTTTTAAAAAATAGCGGGGATTATAACTTTTGAGGTATGTTTAATACGTATTATATATTGGGTAGCTAGGGCCATCTATGGGCAAATTCCGGTTTCATATTTATATACCTGGTATATATATATAAGGGGGATCCAAAAATAACCGGAATTGTTTAAAAAGAAATGTTTTATTAATTTTTATTAATATGTAACTCTAGTCTCAAAGTACTCTCCTCTTGATTCAATGCATTTGTCCCAACGTTCTTTTCCACTGCTGAAAACGTTTCTGAAACTTCTCAATGCAGATTCTGTTTAAGGTTTCCAGCAATTTCTGTTTCACCTTGTCTATATTAACAAAATGTTTCCCTTTTAGGTCATGTTTTATACGAGGGAACAAAAAAAGTCACGGTAAACCTGCATAAAAGGGGATCCCTCTCGTATGACCTTGACCTTGACATATGTTGTCGAGGTCATCGTCCTAAATCACCTTGACCTTGAAATAAGTTGCGGTCACGATCCGTTAAAAAGTTATGAACAAAAAAGTTTGAAATATACCAAAGTACATGCATGGACAGGAAGCACGCGCGCGCGCGCACACACACGGAGGGGTGTAAGGGGGGCTTTCGGCCCCCTTCGCGCATCCGCCCCGCCGGTAGGCATGGTGGACCTTGCTTTACAATGTAGAATGTACTTTGTAAGTTGTAAAGCGAGGTCCACCCTGCCTACCGGCTTGGTGGGTGCGAGAGGTGGGCCAAAGGCCCCCCTTGCACCCCCCGTGTGTGTGTGTGTGTGTATGCGCGTCATGCGAAAATGTGCCCAGTTTTATGTCCCAAGCATCAGTCAGTCACTATCTTTAATTGTTCATAACTTTGTAGTAAACAACGAGCGACGATTAAATTAGAAGAAAAAGTTATTCAGAATTATGTCCTTAACAAGATATACCAAGATCATTGAAATCGGTGAGGTCGCCCTTAATCTAAGTTTTACCATTAAATCAATCGATTATTTTTTGTTTTAACAAAAAAACTGTTCAATATATTAACGATTCACTGCTAATGATTTTCCTTCGTTCATACATATATTATTTCCACATACATATTAATTGTTTATGCCTTTTAATACTCAAAATAACTGCTATATTTTTCATACCTTTTTGTTAATAACTTTTTAATTAATAATGACCGACGGCTAGAACTTTTTGTATGTTGTTCAGGGTCATGACCTTGATAACATATGTCAAGGTCAAGGTCATACGAGAAGGGTCCCCTTTTATGCAGGTTTACTCACTTAAAGAAGTGTGCACAGGAGCGTTGTCGTGGTGAAGGCTCCAATCACCGCTTTTGTACATTTCTGGGGGTATTTTCCGCACATTTTCACGCAACCTTCTTGACATTTCCAAATAAAACTATTGATTCACCATCTGTTCAGGAGGAACAAATTCCTTGTGCACGATCATATCAAAGAAACAAATCAGCATGATCTTGACATTAGATCGCACCCGATGCGCTTTCTTGGGTGTTGGTGAATTAGGCGTTCTCCATTGGCTTGATGCTTGTTTCCTTTCCGGATCATAAGTTTCGTCCCCGGTCACAATTTTGGAAAGAAACTGTTGGTCATTTCAAACTTGGGTAAAAATGAAGATGAGGGGAGATATCTTCGAGGACTTTGACCTTGACATATGTTGTCAAGGTCATAACCCTGAGTAACTTTTTCTTATAACTTAATTGGCGGTCTCTTATAATTTCCGAGATATTTAAAGTTAAAGTTTGATTCGAAACAAAAATTTGGTTTGCGTTATACAACATAACCCAAACCAAATTTTAGTTTTAAATCAGAATTAGGTGTGGATTAGGTTATATCTTGAAGTGGAAGAGGAAGTGGAGCCCCCCCGTAGGAGGTCCACGCATATACTTTACAACGCGAAACGAGGTCCACTCCACAATTGTTGTGTGGATAGGAAAGCTATTTCCCAAACCTATTTCTGATTTAAAACTAAAATTTGGTTTAGGTTAGGTTATATCTTGCGGAAGTAAAGCCCCCCCCCCGTAGGGAGGGAGGGCGGAACCCATTGCGACCACGCATACACTTTCCCATCCATGCAACAATTGTGGGGTCGCGATGTGGGGTTTTGTGTCATTTTCTTTCCATCTTTAAAATATAACGAATAATTACATATCTATAATTCATTAAATAACTTCAAAATGCATATTTAAGTAAATGTGTATCCATAAGAATAAACATTAATAAAATTCGTCAGGTTAAATTCAAAGTATAAAATTAAACACACATTTATATTGTCAATTTCATTTGTTAATAACTTTTTAATGAACAATGACTGACGGCTAAAACCTTTTGAATGTTGTTCAGGGTCATGACCTTGACAACATATGTCAAGGTCAAAGTCATCGGAGATCTCATCTTAATTTTTACCTGCGAAAAATACATTTTACTTTCAAATCTTTTGTTAACATTCACTGGCATGAACTCCAAGAAAAGCAAATCATCTGTGAGCAAACGAGGCACAAATTTTGCGGAAACACGATACATTTTTAAATCTTCTGTTAACATTCGCTGGCATGAACTCCAAGACAAACCAGTCACTTCAGGAATCTCATCAATGGTCCGACGATGATCTTCATTGATTGCGTGGCGAACTTTCTCAACATTTTTGTCATTTTGGCTTGTTTGTGGTCATGATTAGTCTTCAAATGACATTTCACCACGTTTGAAATGTGAATACCATTTGTATACTTGTGTTTTACTTAAAGCTTTTTTTTAAAGCTTCACAAAGCATTACAGTTGCAGCAGCAGTTTCTCTAAAAAAACAACAAAACTTAACGCACCTTTTCTGTTCTTTATTATCAGCCATCACGAAAATCGCCGAGCATGTTTGCAAACATTGGAAAAACAATGCTACAGAAAACAAATCAGTCAATCGAGAACTACATCATGTAGTAGTGACTCAGAATAGTGCCAATGTGCGATAATTAGCAGCGCAATGTTCAATTACGTTCAGTTCACACATCACATTCGAATTCCGGTCATTTTTGGGTCCCTCTATATTTATATAATATATATATAATATACATATACATATATATACAGGGTGTCCCAAAGCACCCTTGACAACGCTCGTGAGCACGTAGAGCACAGTAAACTGAACAGAAAAGTCCTGTACCATTTTTTTATATCAAAATATGTCAGATTAAGATATAAAATAATGTGACGAGGTTACTTTCGAGAGCTCGCGGATTTGCTCGGTCGTGATAAGGGCTCGTAGAAAGTATTGAGACACACGATTTAAATGAAATATAAAAAAAGATTACTTTATTTGGCTTCTATCGGCGCTGGTTAAGAATAAAGAAATGCCCCGCGGAGCGGGTGCGCGGCGGTTAGTAATGTGCCACGGGCGGGGCGCGGTTGTTATGAATTGCGCGAGTTTAACAATGAGATGCGGTGTAGTATACGCAAACGGCTATCAACACGCCAGGTAGACGGCGCGGGGCGCGTGGTCGGTTTGTTGTGACGGCGCGTGGTTCACAAAAACGCGTGAGTCGATTTAAACCGGCGAGACAGTTTCTTATGCGTTTACGGTCCGCGATAATATTTACGTCTGCCACGGGCGGGGCGCGTATTCCCAGATGTTGTGGGATGCGTGCGATATCGAGAAATCTCGAACGGGCAGCGAACTCGCTGTCCCTTGTTCGCACGCGGAGTACGGATTGACCAACGGAGTTGAGGAAACTCAACGGGGTGGCGAACTCGCCAGCCCACGGTCCGTATGGTCGGGTCGGTCGGAAGTTAGACCGTTTCTCGAGAACTCTCGAGAGAAGCGGTCGCGGATTGCGAAGGATCGCAAAGCGGTTCGGAAGCCGAGAATGCTCGGCGGAGGCTACGAACTCGTCAACCCCCACGTTCCGTCGTGTTTGCTAATGATTGCGGATCGGATCAGGAAAGTCTCGAGCGTACAGCTCGAGCGGAATCAGTTTCTGGTGCGATTCTGGTGCCGGTATCTAAAAAGGCTGCCGTTATATACCCGAGCGTCTAACGGTAACCGCGTCGCTCGCCCGCGGGTGGGGATAATGAGTGTTGTTTTTTGGCAGGTAATTAACGGTAAACACGTCATCTCCCCTGGGCGAAACGGCGCGGCGTTTCGGCGGGTGTCGCTCGGGCGTTTACGGCAGCGCTCGGCGGTGCTCGGTCTACGGTGTAACGGCGGCCGTATAACGGCCATATGGTTGTTTATCGCAACGGCGGTAATTAGGTTTAAAAAATGGGCGCTCGGCGCCTCTGCCCCTGCTCGGCTGATGTTCGCCGGGCGGCAGACTTCCGGCGGTCTACTGCCGGGTAACAATGGGGGGTGCATTGTTACAATAACTCAAACAGTACTTAATGAAATAATACTTTATTATAGTGTTTTGGAAAGCTCTCGACATAAGTTATAAGAATATGCAATGGAAAATGGGGGTTTCCACTTAAGAAATTGAAAGTGACCTTCATGTGACCTTCAAATGACTATCCAAGGTCACATCAATGGCACCATCTTGAGGGAGCCATAAGATGATACCATTGGTTTGACCTTGAAGAGTTATTTAAAGGTCACATGAAGGTCACATTTAATTTTTTAAATGGAATTCTATATTTTTTATTGCATATTCTTGTAGCTTATCTTGAGAGCTTTTCAAAACACTATAATAAAGTATTTTTTTATTAAGTACTTTTTGAGTTATTTTATAATTTAATCTGACATATTTTGATTCAAAAATTAAAATATCTCGCAAAATATTTAGTTTTCGATAATCTTACCGTAATACTTTTATGTACAGAATAATGAGACAAATCAATTAGTAAAAAAAAAGTAATTGTTTTTAAGAAAAAGTATGTAATTATTTACTATGTATTTTTTTAAACAATTATTTGCTTTTCTCTTTACACTAATTGGTTTGTCTCATTATTCTGAACATCAAAGTATTACGGTAAGATTATCAAAAACTAAATATTTTACGAGATATTTTATTTTTTATATCAAAATATGTCAGATTAAAATATAAAATAACTCAAAAAGTACTTAATGAAAAAGATACTTTATTATAGTGTTTTAGAAAGCTCTCGATATAAGCTATAAGAATGTGCAATAAAAAATAGGGAATTCCATTTAAGAAATTAAAGGTGTCCTTGACTTGACCTTAACGATGCCATCCAAGGTCAAACCAATGACACCATCTTATGTTCCCCTCAAAACCATACAATTTTTGTTCGAAACGTTTTTCTCTAAAATGCTTAGTTTTTGAAAGAAACGGGGTGTACGGGTTGTCTAGGACACCATGTATATATATATATATATATAGGACATAGGGGAAAATAGGATAAAACCGGGTACTTTTTTAGATTTGTCTTCCAACAAAAAATCTGAAAGTAAAAAAGATTTTGCTAACCGTTAGTAGTCTTTAGTGAATCTTAAACTATGAGAAAATAAGGCCAATTGCTGAAAAAAAAATTTTTGTTTACCAAGAATAACAAGATTTTGTGGAGAAGTCAAACCCGGTTTTGTCCTACCGGTAGAGTAAAACTGGGTACTCATTTGAAAATATACAAAACACCGTGTAATTACAAAATCTAGGTTTATTTTAATCAAAATACAATATAAAGATATATTCTTTTGACAAAAATCAGAAATAAAGATATTTTCTTCTTCGACATTGCTGCAGGACTTCCTTATATAACTTTTTAACTTCAGAGGTCCCAGAAAGCTTTTTTTTATTGGTTTCTTTTTCTGAGTGTTAGTTTTTGTTTCCAACAGCTTTTTGTAGAGAGACAAAGTCAGGATAACAGGTTTTCCTCTTTTCATTATGAGATGTGTAAGTACCCGGTTTTGCCCCAACACAAGGAAAGTAACAAATACAGCGGTTGTATATTCCGACGTACAATGTGCCAATCAAAACTAATATGATATACTCTCTAATATGTACAGAATGTTGCATTTACTAAAACAGATGCTCCATATAGACAAAGTGCACGACGACTCGATTCTTGCCTCGATATCGATCTTTTTGGGGCTAAAACCTTTGGACTTCTATTAAAAAAGAAATATCGTGTGTAGAGGGGCATGGTTTCTTTTAAAATAATAATGGCGCCGATCTACAACTAATAACACAAGTTAGCCATAGATAACAGCACTTATTACGAAAATCAGGGGTACCCGTTTTGACCCGCCTACCCGGTTTTACCCAACTTTCCCCTATATATACAGGGTGTATCTGACGGTTTGTACAAACTTTGGGAACAAGTTCCAAGGACCTAAACAAGCAGCAAATGTCCCATGAACATGGGGTCGGAAACGTTTGCTTCTGGAGTTACGACGGTTCGAAGTTTTCCTGCAATGGCTGGAGAAATTATCACGTCAAATCGGATAGGAGTTACAAACCGTATTTATTTATTTCGTCGATTTTGCCACGGACATAACAAAACAGTACACTTGCTATAGCAAATGCTCGAAATGGCCTCCGTTAGACTCCAAGGAAGCCTGCACACGTCGTCGCATTGACTGGCGAACCCGTTGGAAAATATCTGGTGTGTTACGGATGATGTCCACGATCCGCTGGCGAAGAATTGCAACATCTGGTACTGGGGTAGAATAAGTAAACACTGTTTATAATTTCTATGCGATTTGACGTGATAAGTTCTCCAGCCATTGCAATAAAACTTCGTAACTCCAGAAGCAAGCGTTTCCGACTTCATGTTCATGAGACATTTTCTGCTTGTTAGGTCCCTGCAACTTATTTCTAAAGTTTGTACAGACCATTCAGATACACCCTGTATGGATTATAACTAGTATTATAAATATTAAGCAGCTAAAAATATATGTTCTTGTCAGGGTTTCAGTTTATCTTAGTCTTGAAAGTCAATGACGCAGGGAAAAGCTTGATGGTGCAGTTTACGTTCTTGTCGCAATTAACGTTATATAGTTTCATCGGTGATTATTTGAAATCTCAAATGGAAGAAGTAGGACTTTCTATTTATCAAAATGCTTGTTATAACTTCCCTACAAAACTGACGAAAAATTTAATCTTTGTCATTATGCGGACACAATATCCTGTCGCGTTGTATGCTGCCAATTTTGTAGTAAATTTGTCAACCTACATGAGCATCCTAAAAGCCTCTATTTCGTATTTGTCTGTACTTCGCGTAATGATAGAAACATGAAATATAATATTTAGAAATGAATATATCGCACAATATCGCGAAAAGCTTTTTCTGATATTTGCAAGATAGGATTGAAAGAGAGAAAATTTAATTGTATGTAAAAAAGTCGTCTAATAAATCTTTATTTGTGTCTAAATTAAATCTTATATGTTAAAATTGGGAGAAAAAAAGAAAATACTTATCCGTGTATAGTCTTTTATGTGTGTATAGAGCAGTTCTCGAACTTCCTGCAAATGTATTTCTTTCGATTCGCCAATGTCCTGTTTTATTCCGGATTCACGCTTTTCGACAAACCTATTCTTCACTATTCAGGACTAGAGTAACGTCCTGGACGCGAGATCGCGCAAAATCAAACATGCACGTATAACGAGAATAATATCAATGGGCGAGTTTACCAGAGAAAACCGCTCAGTAGCAATCGAATGTGATTGGCTCTTACTTTTAGAACCAACAAATCAACGTCGTTCAATCAAAGAGAGATACTTTAAATATGAAATAATATAATAAATATTTAAACTATACATTGAAATTATGTGTGATAATACCTCTTTATCAGAATATTTATAATATTTATCATATTCCGAACTTTCGGAATTTGTGTTTAATGTCGCATTAATACTGCCATCATTTCTTCATCGCTAGAACTGCTTGAACTATTTAACAGTTTATCTAATAATAATATTATAGCTGCCATATTTTTTCATTGGAATACTCAAATTTGCACTGAACTGCACTGTCGAAAATCTCAGTGCAATTCAGTGCCTTCTGCAATAGTGCAATGTATTTCAACCGAACATACAAATAACACTGCACTGGGATAATGCAGTTCAGTCGAACACGTTTTCACTAGCACATGTTTTTAGTGCACTATCAACCGAATACACATAAAATTCTGAACCAGTACAGGGCAAGCCAACCGAATACTAAATACTGAAAGAGTGCGCACTCAGTGCGCACTAGTGCGCACTAGTGCATCCAATCGAATTCGCCATATGTTATACGTACCATATTTACGGATATCTTGAAGACTACAGTATTTTACTTAACCTAACGTCTTACGTGTTATAATAACAAGGACCAAAGAATTAAAAAATTACTTAATCACCTAAAAAAAACTTCACAAAGGTCAAAAAAATACGCCAAGTATATAAAAAAATCCCAACATGTACGCAAAAAAAGTTTAATATATATCCCTACAAAATAACTTTTAAAAAAGATTTTATTTGAAAAATAATTTTCATACAAAATAAAAAAATAAAAAAAGATTTTCCTCTAAAAAATAACTCTAAAAAAATAAAAACCTTTAAAAAATCAAAACTCAAAACTAAATGAAATCAATAGTTAACTAGCCAAGTATTTAGAAGCAATTCAGTTTATAAAGATTTGTAATTTGAAATAGTATTTGTCATAAAATCAATCTTGTATTTATAGAAATGTTATAGACAGATTCACTGAATATATATACTTTGGCTTTCTTTGCATACATATAACTATTATTATAATAACATGTTTTGATATTGCGATATATATTCATAAGTTTTTTGTTTTATAAAATAACGTATCAGTTATATGTATGCAAAGAAAGTCAAAATATATATACTATGTATACTGACAAACGGATTAATAAGTTAAAGCGATTAAAATTTGTTGCAATAAGATCCACCTTAAGAATAATATGTAACGGCAGGGCCGTTACTACGGTAGTAACATGTAATATCCGACAAATATATATAGCTCCATACACGGCTTGCTTATTTCCACCTAGCTCTACCTGTCCTGCCGCTGCCATATTGCCTAACGCATGCGCGTTCCCACTCGAGTTACGCTCTCGCTCACCGGCACGCGCTATCTCGCTCTGCATGCGCTCCCGCTCGCCGACACGTTCTGTCTCGCTCTCGCGGGGTCTTCACGCGGTACCGACTCCCACCGCCGGACCGCCAGTAAAGACTCCAGCTTGCGTGCGCAGCCCGATGAGAATCTCCTGGATATACGCGCTTACGAAGGTCCAGCTCGTGACTCTTCTAGTCACACACAGCCTCGACAGTACCCGGAATCTCGACGTGTTGCGACATCGACTGCGAAATTTTGTAACCAAAAATCCCGCACTATTCCCCGAACACAACACCACCGACATGCCGAACAAAGAAGAAGCGACGCCGGTACGGCCCGCGCCGACCTCAGACCATGTCGACCATACCGCACCGATCACCAACCGTACCGAAACGACCACACCCGATCCGACCGCGATGCTAGACCGCATCCGAAAGTGGGGCCTATGCTTCGAAGGTAAGGACCCCTTCGCGTTTATCGAGCGAATCGAGGAATTAAGGCGATCTTACCGCTACGCGGACGAATTCCCCCTCCTCGGATTACCCGAGATGCTGCGCGGGAACTCCCTGTTGTGGTACCGCAACAACCACGAAGATTGGACCACCTGGGACGCCTTTTGCGACGCCTTCCGGCTAAAGTATCTCCCACCAGACTACCAAGACCAACTGCGGCAAGATGCCCAGGCCCGGAGGCAACGACCAGGGGAGCCTTTCGACCACTACGCCACGGACCTGCTAACGATGATGAGGCGCGCCGGGGGCTACACGCCACGGGAGAAGGCCCGACTACTGTACAATAACTTGCACTCCAGCTACCAGCTGTACATTCGATCGACAAAAGCCACCAGCGTCGCAGAGTTAAACGCAAGAGCGACTGAGCACGAGAGGGTCCTGCGTCGACAAAGGGAGGAACAGCCGCCAGCCCGCAGCATGCCCAGCTCACCGGTCGCCGCCGCCACCTACAGCCGGGAGGAATGCTGTTGGCGCTGCAAGCAGCGAGGCCACACACGGCTCGACTGCAAGAGACCGCCGCGAAAGTTCTGCTCCCGATGTGGCCGAGATGGGGTACTCACCCGCGACTGCCACCCGCCGTCGGGAAACACCTTTCGGGCCGGGGAACCAGCGGCCACCGCCCGACCCGCTCCAGCCGAATAAGGTATACACCTAGGCCGCATATAAAGATACGAGTGCTCGACCGGCACATATGGGCACTGCTAGACTCCGGCTCCGAAGTCTCGTTTGTGAGCCCGGCCACGGCAAAACGCGCCAAGTACTGCGGCCACCCCCCTAGGGGGGTAACCCAGCAGATCAACTTGGCTGACGGCACCACGGTACCGATTACGCAGACCGTAGACCTGCCAGTCGCCACGATCGATCGCACCCTAGTACATCAGTTCCAGGTAATGCCAAACCTTAGCGGACCGATGTTGATCGGCATCGACCTATGGGCCAAACTGAGGCTAGCGCTACCAGCCCTCCCCCCCCGACGTTACCACCAGCGCGGTGCCCGCCATACGGGAAATCTCGGCAGGGTTGACGCCCCGGACCGCGGACGAAGACCACCGCCTGCGGGAGTTCCTCAGCCGAGAACTAGCTGCGTTCGACACCATACGTGGGCCAACGGATCGCGCCGAACACCGGATACGCCTAACCACCGACCAGCCAATAAAACAACGCTACAGACCACGTAACCCAGCCATGCAGGCCGTCATCGACCAAGAGGTCCAAAAAATGGAGGAGGCCGGCGTCATCGAGCCATCACAAAGCGCATGGAGATCCCCGGTCGTACTCGTTAAGAAGAAGGATAACACCTATCGATTCTGCATCGACTTCCGGAAACTCAACGACGTGACGCAGAAGGATGCCTATCCGCTGCCACATATTGCGTCCACACTCGACAAACTCCGAGGCGCAAAGTACCTGACCACGCTGGATCTCAAGAACGGGTATTGGCAGGTACCATTGGCACGCGAAAGCCGGCCGGCCACGGCGTTTACAGTCCCAGGGAGGGGACTGATGCAATT